TTTATAACTCATTTCAGCTGGTAAGAATACAATTGATTGAGTTATTCTATTGATACTTCTTCCTGGACTTGGTAATCAATGGACTTCTGCATAATTTTTTAGAAAATTTTTTGCTATTTCTGCAATATTTTTATCAATCACCATTTTAGTTTTCTATTGAGGCATCCTTTTAATATTACCATGAACTCTTTCTAGAAGACCATTTTTTATCAGATGATTTCTGATATTTTTAAAATAAGTTCTACCAATTCCTAGCATATTGAGATAAGTTTCTTGACAAAGAAGTGTATAGTAATCTCAATGATAGAAAGTTCTTTTGTTAGATCTATTTTTTTTTTAAGGCATCTGCTAATGCTTATTGATCCCTCATCCATTGCTTTAAGTTGTGCCATTAAAAATATGTCTTGTTCTGTTTTAGAAAGAGCTTGAAAGGATTCTCTTAATTCTGCAAATTGTTCCTTGAAGAACAACCACATTTACAACCCTTTTCTAAAAAATCAATGGCTCTTTGATATTCATTAGAACCATTATGATTATTATTTTCCTTATTACTTTCCATATACCTATAACCCTATATATTATATATATAATTTTATAATTTTATGTTCACTTTGTAAGTTTTTTATAATTGTTTTAAAATTGAAGTATATGAATGGAATTGATCTTAGATGAATCAGTGGAATAGGTTTAAGTAAATGATTTAAAAAATATGGTTGTTCAATAACTTATGGAGAGAAATTGAAAAATTTGGTCAACTGGCCCCATGAAAAATAATTATGTGCAAAAATTCCATGTTTCCTGATTTTTTTATTAATATCAATAAAGATTTACATTTATCAAAAAAACATCTTTTAAAAAAATTTTATACTGCGGGCAAGTGAATTTCCAGCTGCCTGCTTGTGACATGTCTGATAATACATAACAAAAAAAAATAAAAAGTCCAATAATAATATAGATGCTACTACTCATAGTCTTTGTTGATTATTTATAAATGGATGGGTTGCCCCTGGCTCTATGTTGATGGCCAACTGTTAAGTAACCCTGGTCTCTGGTGCCAATCCCTCAGCTCTAAAAGGCTGACTAATTCCAATTCCAATAAAACCGCAGGCCTCCCCTTGAGGTCTTTCTCTAAACAAAAATAAAAAAAATAATAAAAAAAAATAAAACAATTGGGCATATATACAAGAAATATTTACAACTATGCAACTGGAGGCGTCCCTACAAGCAACATAGTCAAATTAAAAGCATCCTAACTAATGATCAAGGTTGGCCAGACCATCAATCATCAATGACACTTTCACTAATCTTCCCAGACCAGAGATGGCCAACAAGTTAGCTGAAAAGTTGCTTGCAACATTCCTACCTCTAGGTAAGGATGAATCTGTGTCCAAGATGTCGCAACTCTGGAGGAACATTAAGAGAATTTGCAGCTCATTTCAAGCACAGGAGGTTACAATTCAGAGTGGGGTTGGTGACCCTGAAATTGCATTTGGGCTCTGATATTAGGAGAAAGGCTGTAAAATAAAATGGTTCAGATATTTTTTTTGGTATGCTATGTATAAATTAATTGTTTTCATAAATTTTCTATTTCTTTAATTTTTATTTACCAAGTGAATTTGTTATTTAAATGGGGATAGGGTTGTTGGTGAGTAGGTGTGCCACCAACAAGACAGCAAACCAGGACTCAAAACTCGGAATTCAGGGAAAATCCAAAACAGCAACCCAGGTTGTAACCTCCGAGTTGCAGGATTTTGTACCAGTCTTAACACTGACTTTATTCTAAAGAGGTATAACACACAAATACTGATCCTCATCAGTAATTGATGCTCATACAGAAACAGACAGCCTGGTCTGAGGGGAAGATAAGGGAAAGTTTTGTCCAAAGTCTTCCAACATTGGGGGCCTTCACTGTGGAAAGAAAAATTCCACAATTATGGAGTGTGTGAAAGCACTCAACCATATGTTGGTGATAGGAAATTTTAATTAAATCTGGTCCCTGTGATCAACATCAGATTTATTATTCATCAGGAGCTATAATTGATAATCAGGAAAAATAATTTATTTTGTGAACCCAGAGATCTAGGTTCATTGGAGGGTGGAAGAAATCAAATCATTGGTTTCTGACATGCTTGTAAAGAGAGGGAGGGAGATCATTTCTTGTAAGAAAAAAAAATTTTTTTCTTGAGAATCATGGGAAATGTGTAACAATCCTGGAAATAATATGTCACACAAATGGCATTTAATTTTATTACCATATTTGGTAAGAGGAATTCATTTTTATCGTTTAATTTAAGTTACTTGGCAATCGGGATTTTTGGTGAAGAATTTTACATATTATTATTATTATTATCATTATTATTTTTATTAAGAAAAGTGGATATTTTTATTTTTATTTATATTATTTATAATTAAGAAGTTATCTTTAAATTATGACCAATACTTTCTGAGAAGTCTATAAGCTTCCATACAATATATAGATTATATATTTATTTATTTCTTTATGATTTATATTTGTATTTTAAGAATTGTATTTTTATTATTTAAAGATGTAAAATTCAAACAAATAAAGATAACTTTTATATAATTTTACAACAATAAAATTATCAGTTCATTAACAGTGTTGAATAAATATCTAAACATTTGTAAATAATTGTGATAATTATTTGAACGTTTACAAAATGTTTGATAAAACAAGAATGCAAAAAGAATTAAAATTTTTATTATTAATCATTTGTAAGAGTTTCAATCCTCACTTGTTCTCGGAACTCTGCTGCAAACCTCAAATCTCTCAACTCAACTTCAGTCCTTCCAGCATGCTCTGCACACAGCCACCTAATTGAAAAAAAGGTGATTAGTGGAATTATATTTTAGTTATTAATTTTTAACTTGATATTGTACTTACGCATCTCTAAATAACCTTAACAATCCCCACTCTGTCCTCTATTTTGAATGCCAAGGTTATATTTTTTAAAAAAAAACAATCCTTTGGTTGAAAAAGAAACCATACCCTTAGCAAATCCCTGATCGCACCTGACCCAAACCTCACCCCTGGCCCTGCTTCCTCCCTCACCAGCCTGCTAAATGCCGCCATGCTTATTTCAAATTTTCTGTTCCTCCTCCTCAACTATTATAATTTTAGTGTAAGCATGTAAGAATTGCTTCTTAAAAATTAATTTAAAACTCTCCTTCGAACAAATACTTTGCAATTGTAAAAAAAATGATTCTCCTCCTTTATTATTTTAGAAAATATTCGTTATATATTAATTTTGATTACACAGATTGATAAATACAAATAGATGAAATTATAATATAAACAAGTTAGTCTATTTCTTATCAATTGATAATTGTTTTAAATTGTTACAAAGCAATATGAAAATATCCAAATTTGAATTCTAAAAAAAAAAAGAAAAGCTTATAAAAAAGTTACTTCATGTTCAGCATCACCGGCATCATCATCACCAGCATCATCAGTTCTATCTTCAGCATCTTCAGTTTTATCAATTTCTTTAACAGCCTCCTCAACAGCACTAGTATTAGAATTACTTTAAAATTAATATTTTTCTGAATTTTTGCACATAATTACAAAACATGATTGCTTTTTATGATAATAACTAGAGTGATGATAACCACCCATTCTTTTAATAACACTTACTTTTCACCTTCTTGTCTTCATTTTTGGAATTTTTATTTTGAAAAAAGAAAAAAAAAGAAAGACATGTTAAAGAATTTTTATACATATTAACTAGAGTGATGTCAAGTGGCGATAACCACCATTCTTATGATAAACAATACTTACCCATAAGATTTTTTTGTTTTGTTTTCTCTGCTTCTTTTTTGTGTCTTTTTTTGGTGGCATCTTTATAAAAAAAAATTTTTAAAAAAGAAAGTTATACATTTTCTTTTAGTTAAGAGTAAGCGAAATAAAATAAACCAACATTTCTCAAAGATCCATATGCTGTTTGTTCATAATTCAGCTGTTATTAATTATACTGTCTTTCGGTATACTGTCTTTTGATTAGCTTCAAGATGTAGTTTTCGTTTTATGTAAACAAAAAAATATTGGTTGTGTATCCTGCAGATCAATAGAGAAGTTTTAATATTAATCATCATAAAATAATTTCCTTCATAGTCCTTTTATACAGTGATGATAATAAATAGGAATAATTAACATTTTCTTAAGTCATA